CTTCACTTTTATTTTCGGGGTGTCTTTGCATTCAGTCCTCTGTAGGTCGATCATTTTCATTTCCATCAAACAATGGGGCGTCCTTACATTCCTCACCCATCCCCGTCTATGTCAGTATAGAGATCCAGCAGGAGATTTCCTCCCCATTGGGATCTGATGGGTTTTCAGAGTCTTCCTTCCATTTTTTTGAGCAGTGTACTTTGCATAATAAAGGCTTAATTTTCTATTTATATTGTTATCAGTTGTCACTTTTTGGCTGCAAGAAAGTCCCAGAGGAGATTTAATTCTTCTTGCTAATAACTATAAATACCACCCCCATTCACTATATCGCTCTCCCCGGACCCTGCATTCACTATATCCGCTCTCCCCGGACCCTGCATTCACTATATCCGGTCTCCCGGACCCTGCATTCACTATATCCGCTCTCCCCGACCCTGCATTCACTATATCCGCTCTCCCGGACCCTGCATTCACTATATCTGATCTCCCCGGACCTGCATTCACTATATCCGCTCTCCCCGGACCCCGCATTCACTATATCCGCTCTCCCGGACCCCGCATTCACTATATCCGCTCTCCCCGGACCCCGCATTCACTATATCCGCTCTCCGGACCCCGCATTCACTATATCCGCTCTCCCCGGACCCCTCATTCACTATATCCGCTCTCCCCGACCCCGCATTCACTATATCCGCTCTCCCCGGACCCCGCATTCACTATATCCGCTCTCCCCGGACCCCGCATTCACTATATCCGCTCTCCCGGACCCCGCATTCACTATATCCGCTCTCCCCGACCCCTCATTCACTATATCCGCTCTCCCCCCGGACCCCGCATTCACTACATCCGCTCTCCCCAGACCCTGCATTCACTATATCCGCTCCCCGGACCCCGCATTTACTATATCCGCTCTCCCCCGGACCCCCGCATTCACTATATCCGCTCTCCCCGGACCCCGCATTCACTATATCCGCTCTCCCCGGACCCCGCATTCACTATATCCGCTCTCCCCGGACCCCGCATTCACTATATCCGCTCTTCCCCGGACCCCGCATTCACTATATCCGCTCTCCCCGGACCCCGCATTCACTATATCCGCTCTTCCCCGGACCCCACATTCACTATATCCGCTCTCCCCGGACCCTGTATTCACTATATCCGCTCTCCCACAGTACACAGAACATGGAAATGCAATTATTTTAGTAAATATAAACTGCTAAATACCTTTTCCCATCAGCAGTGTATATAGCAGCCTTGTGAATTATATTAGTGTCCAGCTAAGCACATGTTAAAGCTTGCAGGAGGAGTTTTCATTTTTCTCTAGGAGGATGCAGAACCCCTGACCTCTGTCTGGACAGTGCTGATTGGCCCTGTGCTGATCACAAGCATTCTCCCAAGGAAAAAAAAAAAAAACCTCTCTAGCAATACACACCAAACTGAGCATGTACTGAGTGTGTTCACACAATATGTCTTAACAGGAGATAAGAGGGGGACACTGGAAGAAGGGGAGGATCAGAGAAGACAGGATCAAACAGCGTATTTACACAATGCAGAGGATTAACCCCTTAGGTTCCACAGTTTGTATAATAAAGCATGCTTTACTGCATTTACAGACTGATTGTACTGGTGTGGGTTTAGTAACACTTTAAATATTTTTTTTTTTAAATTAACGTAAAACATCTTCATACATAGTACTAGTGAAAACACCAATACCGAAACTCAGCAAATTTGTTAAGGCTGCAATTATGAACAGTGGTGGAAACCCCTTCTGGTAAAAGCTCCAAACAACCTGTTAAAGAAAGCAAGTTTGAAAAAATCAAACAGATTTGAGACTGATGGAGATTATGAATGATGGTGGAAACTTCAAATATCATGGTCAGGTTTAGGAAAAGTCCAACTACATGTGAATCGTCGGTGCTAAATGAAGTTCTTAAATGCAATCCACTCCGTGTGTTCCTGAATTGTGACACCTCGTGACCTCCGCCGCCAGTCACACCACAGGCTCACCTCCCACTTTAACCTATAGATAAATAGGTCCAAAAGCACCTTCCCCCTCCGGGGGTCGTATCGCCGGTATTGGATCTCTCCAAATTCACCAACAACTCCCTTCATTTTAACCTCCAACTATGGAACAGAAATGTTTAGTGTTGATGTGCGATTGAAGATTGCTGATCGATAGTTGGAGGTTAAAATGAAGGGAGTTGTTGGTGAATTTGGAGAGATCCAACACCAGTGATACAACCCCTGGAGGGTTGAAGGTGCTTTTGGACCTATTTATATACAGTTGCAAGAAAAAGTATGTGAACCCCTTGGGATTACGTGGAGTTTTGCATGAATTGGGCATAAAAATGTGCTCTGAACGTCATCTAAGTCACAACAATAGAAGAACACAGTCTGCTGAACATAATACTACACAAACATTAGATGTTGCCATGGTTTAATTGCGCATAACATGTAAACATTCACAGTGCAGGGAGGAAAAAGTGTGAGGCCCTAGCTTAATGACTTCTCCCAGAGCTAATTGGAGCCAGGAGTGAGCCAACCTTGACTCCAAACAGTGTGATGATATATGGATGTGATGCTGACAGCTGTCCTGCCCTTAAAAAACACACACCTGTTTTGGATTTACTGGTTTCAAGAAGCACTGTCTGATGTGAACCATGCCTCGCAGAAAAGAGCTCTCAGAAGGCCTACGATCAAGAATTATTGACTTGCATGAAGCTGGAAAGGGTTACAAAAGTATCTCCAAAATCCTTGATGTTCATGTGTCCACGGTAAGACAGACTGTCTACAAATGGAGAAAGTTTAGCACTGTTGCTACTCTCCCTAATCGTGGTCGTCCTGTAAAAATGACTGCAAGAGCACAGCGCAGAATGCTGCATGAGGTAAAGAAGAATCCCAGAGTGTCAGCTAAAGACCTACAGAAATCTCTGGCACATGCTAACATTTTTGTTGACACATCTACAATAAGGAAAACATGAAACAAGAATGGAGTACATGGGAGGACACCACGGAGGAAGCCATTGCTGTCCAAAAAGAAGATTGCAGCACATTTGAAGTTTGCAAAAGAGCACCTGGATGTTCCACAGCACTACTGGCAAAATATACTGTGGACAGATGAAACCAAGATTGAGTTGTTTGGGAAGAATACACAACACTATGTGTGGAGAAAAAAAAAGGCACAGCACACCAACATCAAAACCTCATCCCCACTGTAAAACATGGCGGAGGGAGCATCATGGTTTGGGGCTGCTTTGCTGCCTCAGGGACTGGACGGATTGTTGTCATTGATGGGAAAATGAATTCCAGAGTTTATCAAGACATTTTGCAGGAAAACGTACGACCATCTGTCCGCCAACTGAAACTCCGCAGAGGATGGGTGATGCAACAGGACAATGACCCAAAGCATACAAGTAATTCAACAAAACAATGGCTGCAACAGCACAGAATACGCCTTCTGGAGTGGCCCAGTCAGAGTCCTGACCACAACCCGATTGAAATGCTGTGTTATGACCTTGAGAGAGCGATTCACACCAGACATCCCAAGAATATTGCTACACTGAAACAGTTTTGTGAAGAGGAGTGGTCCAAAATGACTCCAGATCGTTGTGCAGGTCTGATCTGCAACTACAGGAAACGTTTGGGTTGAGGTTATTGCTGCCAAAGGAGGGTCAACCAGTTATTAAGTCCAAAGGTTCACATACTTTTTCCTCCCTGCACTGTGAATGTTTACATGTTATGTGCAATTAAACCATGGCAACATCTAATGTTTGTGTAGTATTATGTTCAGCAGACTGTGTTCTTCTATTGTTGTGACTTAGATGACGTTCAGAGCACATTTGATGCCCAATTCATGCAAAACTCCACGGAATCCCAAGGGGTTCACATACTTTTTCTTGCAACTGTATATACTATATAACCAAAAGTATTGGGACACCGGCCTTTCCACGCACATGACCTTTAATGACCCCCCAGTCTTAGTCCGTAGGGTTCAATATTGAGTTGGCCCCGCCCTTTGCAGCTATAACAGCTTCAACTCTTCTGGGAAGGCCGTCCACAAGGTTTAGGAGGGTGTCTATGGGAAGTTGGACCATTCTTCCAGAAGCACATTTGTCAGGTCAGGCACTGATGTCGGGGGAGGGGGCCTTGGCTCGCAGTCTCTGCTCTAATTCATCCCAAAGGGGTTCTAAGTGGTTGAGGTCAGGACTCTGTGCAGGACAGTCAAGTTCCTCCACCCCAAACTGGTTCCTCCATGTCTTTATGGACCTTGCTTTGTGTACTGGTGGGCAGTCATGTTGCAACAGGAAGGGGCCATCCCCAAACTCTTCCCACAAAGTCGGAAGCATGAAATTGTCCAAAATGTCTTGGTATGCTGATGCATTAAGAGTGCCCTTCACTGGAACTAGGGGGCCAAGCCCAACCCCTGAAAATCAGCCCCACAGCATAATCCCCTCTCCAACAAACTTTACACTTGGCACAATGCAGTCAGGCAAGTACCGTTCTCCTGGCAACCGCCAAACCCAGACACGTCCATCGGATTGCCAGACAGAGAATTGTGATTGGTCCCTCCAGAGAACACGTCTCCACTGCTCTAGAGTCCAGTGGCGGCGTGCTTTACACCACGGCATCCGACGCTTTGCATTGCACTTGGTGATGGAAGGCTTGGATGCAGCTGCTCGGCCATGGAAACCCATTCCATGAAGCTCTCTACGCACTGTTGTTGGGCTCATCTGAAGGCCACACCAAGTTTGGAGGTCTTTAGCTATTGACTCTGCAGACAGTTGGCGACTTCTGCGCACTGTGCGCTTCAGCATGCGCTGACCCTGCCCTGTCATGTGACGTGGCCTACCACTTGGTGGCTGAGTGGCTGTTGTTCCCAGTTGCTTCCACTTTGTTATAATCCCACTAACAGTTGAGCGTGGAATATTTAGTAGCCAGGAAATGTCACGGATGGACTTATTGCCCAGGTGGCCACCTATCACGGGACCACGCTTGGAGTCACTGATCTCCTGAGAGCGACCCATTCTTTCACCAATGTTTGTAGAAGCCGTCTGCATGCCTAGGGGCTTGATTGTATACACCTGTGTCCATGGAGGGGATTGGAACACCTGAATCACATGATTGGGAGGGGATTGGAACACCTGAATCACATGATTGGGAGGGAATTGGAACCTGATTCACATGATTGGGAGAGGATTGGAACACCTGAATCACATGATATGGAGGGGATTGGAAATGAATCACTTGATTTGTAGGGCGGGGACAATACTTTTAGAAATATAGCATAGGTCAAAGTGAGAGCTGAATCTATGATGTGACTGGTGGCGGAGGTCACGAGGTGTCACAATTTAAGAACACACGCTGACACGGGAGTGGATTGCAATTAAGAACTTTATTCGGCACAGACAACTATTAATATATTATACTGTTCAACAGGTAAAAAGTTTTGGGCATAAAATTAGCTAATCTTACATAATTTTGGGGTGCTGAAAACGAAAATGACCCTTAAAAAATGTTGATTGGCTCTAGTTTCCATGATATATTCACCCATCTAATGACGTAAGCCATTCAAAATTATGATGCAACTTCAGCTGCATATTGCACAATTGATACTGGTGACCAATAGAAAATGTCATGTATACTGAGATGATGCAATATTAGCCTTTAATTGCATCACTTCACTGCATAAAAGCTGCAGTATCTGTAGCTGATTGTAGTTCAACAGCGTCTTTACATTTCGTTTTTGCTTATATAAGCTACTCAGTAATGCCTCGAACTTGTGTGAATAAAGCAGATAATTTCTGCTATATCTGCGGTGAAATAACTTTTATCTCACAAAAAAGGAGGATAACAGGAATGATTAAGAAAGCCTACAACTTGTATTTTGGCTGCAAGATAGGAGACCAGGACAAGAGCTGGGCACCACATATATGCTGCAATTCTTGTGGGACGGCACTGGAGCAATGGTTGAATGGAAAAAAGGCATCTATGCCTTTCGCTGTGCCAATGATTTGGAGAGAGCCAACAGATCATGTTAGTAATTGTTACTTTTGTATGGTGCCTCCAATTGTAAAAGGGCTAAATAAGAAGAAAAAGTTATCTGTGCACTATCCAAATATTTCCATCGGCAATACGTCCAGTTCCTCATGGAGAGGGGCTACCAATTCCTAAAGCACCAGAATCCTTCGTGGTTGAGTCAAGTGAGGAAGAACCTGAAGCGTGTAGTCACGTGCAGTTGTAAGAGATAGCGCTTTCCTCGAATACAAGAGAAAAGCCAAGAGAAGCAAAACCGACACAAACTGAAGACAAAACTAGTGAGAATCCTAAGTATTAAAATGATTCAACTTCGCTTATGGCTATAATTTTTCTTGGTAATCCTATGCAATATATTATGCCATTTAGGCTTTGTTATGTAGTCATATCACTTGCTTTATATTTGTGGAAAGACATCTATCTATATAATTATTGTGCATTATGTAGTCATTACGCCTATAGTAGAAAACTTTCCGTTTACAGAAAAACTAGAGCCAATTGACAAATTTCATTGTTATATTTGAACTCAGAATGTGAAATTCATTAAGAAATGGATCCTTTTGTTTCCAAAACTGGCAAAAAATAAAAATTTGTTGAACAGTGTTATTATTATTATACAGGATTTATATATTATTATTATTATACAGGATTTATATGGCTCCAACAGTTTTCTCAGCGATTTACAATATAAAGGGGGGCAGTACAATTACAATACAGTTCAATACAGAAGGAATTGGAGGGCCTTGCTCATGGAGCTTACAATCTAAAGGGATGGGGAGGTGGTACAAAAGGGATGATATGATGGAGGTGACTCGGGTACAGTTCTTAGGTAGAGGTGGGGTAGGCTTCCCTGAATAAGTGAGTTTTCAAGGATCACCAAAAGGTGGACAGGGTAGGAGCTGACTGGACCTACTGGGGCTGGGAGCTGCAGATGATAGGAGAGGCTCTGGAGAAGTCCTGAAAGCGAGCGTGGGAGGAGGTGACAAAGGAGCTAGAGAGTAGGAGATCTTGGGAGCAGCGGAGAGGATGATTTGGGCGACATCTGCAGATGGGGTTGGTGATGCAGCTGGGGGCAATGTTGTGGATGGCCTTGCACATTGTCATTTTATATTTTTGCTGACACAGAAATATGGTAGGAGACCCAGGAGGACCCCACTGCTGACACAGAAATATGGTAGGAGACCCAGGAGGACCCCACTGCTGACACAGAAATATGGTAGGAGATCCAGGAGGACCCCACTGCTGACACAGAAATATGGTAGGAGACCCAGGAGGACCCCACTGCTGACACAGAAATATGGTAGGGGACCCCACTGCTAACACAGAAATATGGTAGGAGGCCCAGGAGGACCCCACTGCCGACACGGAAATATGGTAGGAGACCCAGGAGGACCCCACTGCTGACACGGAAATATGGTAGGGCCCAGGAGGACCCCACTGCTGACACGGAAATATGGTAGGAGATCCCCCCACTGCTGACACGGAAATATGGTAGGAGACCCAGGAGGACCCCACTGCTGACACGGAAATATGGTAGGAGGCCCAGGAGGACCCCACTGCTGACACGGAAATATGGTAGGAGGCCAGGAGGACCCCACTGCTGACACGGAAATATGGTAGGAGACCCAGGATCCCACTGCTGACACAGAAATATGGTATGAGACCCAGGAGGACCCCACTGCTGACACAGAAACATAAAAAAGCCAGACTGGAGTTTGCCAAAACGTACTTGAGGAAGCCAAAACCCTTTTGGGAGAATGTGCTGTGGACAGACAAGACAAAATGACAGCTTTTAGCTAAAGCCCATCATTCTGCTATTTTCAGAAAAAGCAATGAGGCCTTTAAAGTCACACATGGTGGGAGTCACACGTGGTGGGGGGGGGGTCACTGATGTTTTGGGGTTGCTTTGCTGCTTCAGGCACTGGATGTCTTGACTGTATGCATGGCATTATGAAATCTGAAGACTACCAAAGAATTCTGGGGTCCAATGTAGGGCCCGGTGTCTGAAAGTTGGGTCTCCATCAGAGGTCATGGGTCTTCCAGGAGGACAATGACCCAAAGCACACGTAAAAGAGCCCCCAGACATGGTTTCAGACAAATCGCTAGAGAGGACTGAACTGTCCAACAATGAGTCCAGAGCTCCATCCCATAGAGCTCCTGTGGAGAGATCTCGGTACAGCAGTTGGGAAAAGGAACCTTCCAATCTGAGAGACCTGGAGCAGTTGGTAAAAGAAGAGCGATCCAAAATCCCAGTAGAGAGGTGGAGGAAACTCATTGATGGTTGCAGGAAGCCATTGGTTTCAGTTATTTTTTCCAAGGGGTGTGCTACCAAATATTACACGGAGGGTACCAATAATTTTGTCCGGTCCATTTTTGGGATTTTGTGTGGAATGTGTCAGATTGCGCTTTTCGTGTCTCCACCTTTTTGTGTCATACCAATACAAACAAAAGAAAACATTTGTAATTGCCACCATTTTCTGGGTGAAGTGGTGCGTTATCTGACAGAAATGCAGGGGTGCCCATATTTTTGGTCATGACTATATATATATATTTCACAATTTTATTTATTACAGTACAGGAGGCTTTGAAATATTTATTAGAGTATCTGGATAATAGATAATATTTATTAGATATCAATTTAGACCCTGAATATTTACCCACCATCTTCCCTTCTGAATAACCACAGTGCCTTGTGTACAGATCATACCTGTGTTCACTACAGCTATGCTTTATGCACATGGGGAACACTGAGCATAAAAAGTGTTCCCTGACACTCCACTCTCCTCCATGCTCACCATCCTGGCAACCTGATGGTGGTGGATGGTCATACTTGGTAACCCCTATCTTTTATAATCTAAAAGGTAGACATACCAAGATTACCCATACAAAGTTGGGAATATGTACTACTACTAAATATAAAAACACAAATTAATGTTGAATGCTTAGATATTGCAGAATTAAACGCTGGACATAAAACAATTTATAGCTATTTCTACATTTAATCCTTTTGGTGTAAGGGTTGCCAACTCATGTATTCATTTTGTTTCATTCTGTGAGATTGCCCTAGTCATGTTATTCCCTCTCCACTGTCTTTCTACTTTATCAATCCCACAGAATTTTAACAATGAAAGGTCCCTATTATGGCAAAACCTGAAATGGTTGAAAAGGCTGTGGCTGCAAAACCCTTTTTTAAAATTATTCAGATGCTTCCTCAATCTTATCCTCAAGTCCCTTGTAGCCATTCCTACATACTGAAACCGACACGAGCATTCCAGTAGGTATGTCACATGTGTGCTATTGCATGTGATGAACTTCTATTTTATATTTTTTTTCCTGTTATATTTGATTGCAAATGCGTGGATTTTTTTTGTTAGCAATCCTGCAGGTTTTACATTTATACACCTACCATACCTATAGACTTAATTTTGTTTTATTCATTTATTAATATTTTCACACACATTATATAAATATATATATTTTGCATTGTGACAGCGCTTTCATGTATGTTGATCAAACTGTACTGCTCTGGTCATAGTATGTGAAAAAAAAATCATAATAATAAAAAAATAATATATATATCAATATATCATTTTTTTTTTTTTTAAAACTGTCCCCACTAAGTGTCCCTGATCACCATCACACACCAGTTATATGATGATGCTGTACTGCATTGGTGCCGGTATATAAACAAAAGTGTGAAAAAAATAACTTTTTTAATTTCTTCATTTTCCAAAAAATTGTGATAAAAAATTACAACCTAAAAAAACTTGTCATGTCTCTTACTAAATACCTTGGTCTGTGTACTCTCCAAAAAGAGGTCATTTGGGGGGTATTTGTACTGTCCCGGCATTTTTGGGCCTCGAGAAATTAGACCGACCGTCAGTACATCAGGATTGATTAATTTTTAGATATATATCCCATCGTTTGTAGACTCTACCTGTCACACAGACTAAATAATATACACAGATTTGGGTCATTTTCACCAAAGAAATGTAGCAGAATACAGTTTGGTCTAAATTTATGAAGCAAATTGAATGACAGATATTTACCGTAATTTTCCTTTCCTGAACAAGCTCCATGCCAGCAGAGCCGGGTACACCTCACCTCCCCTCCCCCATGCTTCCAGGGCCTAAGTAATACATTTGAGCCCACCTGCCTTGACATTCTGGAACTAGTCCTACCAAGCTGAATGGGAATTGTGCTCACCATTTTCCCTGATGACTCTATGTTATTGTTAACTAACTAGCCACGCAGGGGAGGGATGTTACTGCACACTCCCTAATTCTGTCTAAAAGCATGAGCCAGGATGCATCCGCCAAACTCAACTGTCATTAAGGCTGCTACTATACAGTAATGATCCATGAACGTATATATTGACGCTCATGTCAATACACTTGGCCCGCTACCTCTCACAAGGTCGAGACCCTTCTAGGAGGAGAGTGCTGTGATTCCCCTGGCACAGCCAACCCTTTCAACTTGTAGGCCAAAGAGATGAACTTCACCAACCAAGAGGCAATATCTTTGTTGGAAGCCATGAAATCATTACACACTACACCTGGAATGACCAATAGGTTCTCCGACTTCCAGATGTTACCTTGATGAAACATTTTAAAGCTTGGCCTACATCCGATGGGCTAACTTCTTGGGTACTCCCCAAGAGGGACGTAGGAAGGACAATTTCTTGTGTGATATGTACTCTGAATGCTACTTTAGGCACAAATTCACCTTTACAGAGCACCCGAGATATATAAGCTTCTCGCTCTCAAGACCTTAGCTATCACCTTGAGCCTGTTGGGTGTTGGATGAATGGAACTTTAGAGAATATTCAAACTTACCAGCAGATAGTGGATCCTTGACACACATTAGGTGGAGCAGAGGGTACCAAGGCCCCATTGGTCCTCATCTGCTTGTTTAGAAGAGACTGAAAAGGATTGATTGACTTGAGAAGACTCTGAGACCAGTTTTAATGGCCCTGAAAGTCTGGACATTGCCAGAATAGATAGCCCTTGAAGAAGGTGAATTCAGCAATTACTTTAGAATGTCTTGACCACATGCTTAATTTATTGTGACACTTTGGTCACCATCATCCTAAACACTGTCTGCTTGAACAAGAGACTGCTCATTGGCAGAATATATCATCCCTTCACAAGGTGAGTGGAAGCAATTCCTTTAGAATGTATTGACCACGTGTTCAATTAATGTGACAGCCTGTTAGGTGTCATCATCTATCCCTGGCTGCTTCAACCAGCAGGATACATACAGTCATGCTCATCCACATCTTCCTCTTTATAGAGTCTGAAGAGGGCTGTTTTACCTGGGCAGGCTATGAGACTGTTCATTTACAGAACATATAACCCTTTCACAGGGTGATTGGAGGAGAGTGTTGTATTGGCCACTTGTTTAATGAATGTGACAAACTGTTAGGCGTCATCATCCTCATCTCTTTTTGCATGAACAAAGCACGATTCATACAGTCATGTTCATCCGCATCATCTATTTTGAAGAACCTGAGAGGGCTGTTTTGTTTGGGAAAGCTCCCTGGGAAAGAGACTGTTCATTGCCAGAATAGATAATCCTTTCACAGGGTTTTGACTGTCGCTTAACAAAGCAGCTCAAAAAACAATTCAATGCAGTAGAAAATAGCTTGCTTAATACCAAACCCAAAAGGGTTTACTACTGCTAGAGGGAGAGTGTAACGGAACCGGACCCCGACTGCACTAGGGTATTTCCGTTAGACTCCCGCTTTCCTGCCCGAACACAGATCCACGGACACCACTCTTGTATGAAACCAGGAAATAGACTGCTTTATTTTAACACAGACACAAGATATAAACATTCAAGGAAACAACCCACCTCCCTGCATATGGACGCAGGGCGGGGCAAACCAAATCTAGCAACAGAGACACATCAGAAGACACCCCCCACCAAGCCAATACACAAACACATACATCCCATAATAGTTTGCTCCCAAGCAAGACACACAATAGAACAATGGGATGCAACCACATGGTAGTAAACAATGAACAACCCTCCACCCCACCTATACATGTCTACACAATATCAGGACATTCCACCCTGTACCCCTAACAGGCACAGGGTGACTTACACATAAGAGGGATATGGTGAGCTGAGACAGGGGTCTCCTCACCCCTCCAAAGGGGGCTGTGTTCCATAGGCCCCCCACCCAAAGTCACTTGCGTCACAGAGGGTGATACTGAAGCTTCCAACCACAGCTGTGAGATTTCACTAGGTGGTTAATAAACCAAACCTTGCCGTGCCAGGGAGCAGGACATGATGAAAATGTTTTGTTCAGAAGAGCAGCAAAGAGATAGGAATCTGCAACAGAATTACAATAATATTCTGCAATGTATACAAACCATCCATGAGAATTGTTGACATCATAAAGAGCGTCTTTTTTTGGGGGGGGGGGGGCTGAAAAACTCGAGAGGAGAAAAAAAATATAAAAAAGATGTCCTATACTCCAACAAGAAATAGCTGGCTACAGTAGTCATCCACAGGCAACGCCTCTACTGTCTCTGGGAATACTGATCTTTTGAGGGGGTTGACCTAATGGCACAATAGTAAAGCAAACATGAGAAGCCACCAACAGGTAAATGCCATGTATGTACAGACAAGAGCAGGGGCGGACTGACCACTTGCACTGCTCGAGGGCCCAGGGTCAGTAGGGGGCCCCATGAGATGCCCCTGGTACCTTTTTCATAGGCTTTTTTGAGTTTGGGCAGGGACACAGGGGCCCCATGATCCCCTATTGCCCGGGGGCCCCATGAGTTGTCAGTCTGCCCCTGGACAAGAGTATTACTTTGTGCTCCTGTTATGCAGAGTACTACCTGTGGAGGAGCTCAGGGTATGCACAGCGGCTGCAGGGAGCAAGGCACAACAATATCTAGTAATGCAGACAAAGCATTTTTAAATTGAGCCCACCCAACCTCTGCTGTCGGACTGTAAACACTGGCACTGTTGATACTGCTGCCCACTTCACGTGGACCCCAGACAAGGCTGGTAGCCATGATAAAAATCCATCCTGAGGACCAGCAGCAGGGCTCCCTGGATTATGGGTCACTTAGCCAGCACACCAGGTACCATGTCCAGCCTAAACCCACGCGCATGGACAGATGGACGGACGGCCAGCCAGCCTTTGGACTAGCCAGGTAGAGGAGCTTGCCTAGGTCCAGCACATAGAAAATGTACGAGTTAGGTCCTAGAAGCATGTGGACAGCTGTGCTAACATGAAGCTATTAGGGAAAGATTGTTTTTTTGAGAAATTGTGTAACGGAAAAAAAGAAGAGATTTTTGGTCTTTTTTTCATTTGGCTCGCTTCGGGGCACTGCTTCCAATCTGCCATTTATAGGCTGCGAATGGACAGGAAACAGTTAATCCATAAACCACCATTTTGTTTTTGTACCAAATTAATATTTTACCATCCCTTCACATCAGACAGATCCTCAACAAATGCACAACCGTTAACAACTCACTTTTTAGCATCTCACTTCTAACCCCTTGCCTACCAGGCACTTATACCCCCTTATTTACCAGGCCAATTTTCAGCTTTCAGCGCTGCCGCACTTTGATTGACAATTGCGCGGTCATGCAACATTGTACCCATATGAAATTTTGATCATTTATTTCTCACAAATAGAGCTTTCTTTTGGTGGTATTTAATCGCCACTGGGTGCTTTACTTTTTGCGCTATAAATTAAAAAAGTGCAAAAAATTTGAAAAAAAAAAAAAGTTTCTTTGTTTCTATTATAAAATTTTTCAAACAGGTATTTTTTCTCCTTCACTGATGTGCGTTGATGAGGCAGCACTGATGGGCACTGATAGGCGGCACTGATGGGCACTGATAGGCAGCACTAAAGGGCACTGATAGGCAGTACTAATGAGGTGGCACGGATAGGCGGCACTGATAGGCAGCACTAATAAGGTGTCACGGATAGGCGGCACTAATATGCAGCACTGATAGGCGGCACTGATAGGTGACACTGATTATGGGTACTGATAGATGGCACTGACTGGCATCACTGCTGGGCACTGACTGGTGGCACTGACTGGCACAACCACTGGGCACTGACTGGCAGCACTGCTGGGCTGCACTGGTGGGTGGCACTGGTGGGCAGCACTGGTGGGTGGGCACAGGTGGGTGGCACTGGTGGGCACAGGTGGGTGGGCACAGGTGGGTGGCACTGGGGCAGAACTGGTGGGTGGGCACAGGTGGGTGGCACTGCTGGGCACAGGTGTGTGACACTGCAGAGTGGCACAGGTGGGTGCACTGCTGGGCACAGGTGGGTGCACTGCTGGGCACAGGTGGGCGGAGCTAATGGGTGCACTGCTGGGCACAGGTGGGCGAAGTTACAACTTGTGGGTGGCACTGCTGGGCACCGATCATCAGCTCTGACAACTGCCGGTTCTCGGCAGTACTTTCCTCACGATCTGACAGCGTGTGAAATTGTGCTGCACCCTTGGATGAGGCACTTTTCACACAAAAATAGGTATTTCACATGTTTTGCTGTACCACATGCGTTTATAATTGTTTGTATTGGAACAAATATAATACAGAGGCAGAAAAGCAAATGATCACATAATGTCACACAAAACCCTAAAGTGCAGCCGAAAACCGGCACTTGCATTTCCCTGTGATCAGCGTGTCATTGGACACCGCTGATCACGTGGTAAAAGGCCGGTATGATTGGCCTTTTACCACATCTCGTGATCAGCTGTGTCCGTAGGACACAGCGATCACGGAGATCACCAGGTGCGCGCCCCCTGGGGGGGCACAGACGTGCATATGACGTCCACCCAGAACTGGCCGGCCGCAGTGCAGCCGTCATTCGGCTATCTTTGCAGTCGGCGAACTAGTTAATTTTGTCTCTTTTATTGCTTTTGCAGCTTTCAATAATAGACATTGACCAGTTATATGTTAATTTCTTTACAGAATGCTACCATGTCTGATTTCATTATCCGAATATACAGAGATTCTGACTACGATGTGGCCAGAAATTTGTTTGCTTGCGGCACTGTAGAGAGCACTAGCGAAGCCTTTAGGCACACCTTACAGGTTCCACACATCTGGCTTCTGTTGTCCGCTCTGTTCCTACTTCCTGCTTACACATTGTGTCCATTGGAAAGTTTATCGTTGCCATGGCCTTAGCAGTGGCTGGATTATGGTTCGGATCCCGGTATTGGTATACGGAGTACATCCAGTTCTCCCTGTTGGATGACATGCTGGACATCCGGAAGTACTACTTGGAGCGGGATGGTTATGGATTCTGGGTGGCGGAGTCAGGAGGAGAGTTGGTGGGGACAGTGGCCGCCCTTCCTTCTTCAGAACCCGGTGGAGAAAAACACTTAGAATTGAAACGTCTTTCAGTGTCTAAAAACCATCGCGGTAAAGGCATTGCCAAGGCTTTGTGTAGGACGGTGATTGACTTTGCCCAGCAGAGAGGTTGCCAAGCGGTGGTGTTAACAACCACTTTCGCCCAGATCAGTGCCTGCAAGTTGTATGAAAGGATCGGTTTAAGACTAATGAACACACTTGCTCCAGAGTTAAAGTTCAAATTTTTTGGCTTTAAAATCTTGGCCTACCAGTATGACCTCCCAAACCATTGATGACATCTCCAAAATGATGGAAAAGCTTTCAGATAATATGTCACTAACTCTGTTAAAGTATTAAACCCTCATTTTCATGAACATAATATTGTGATGCTTTTCTGTTTAGTTGGCCTCAGAGAGTTTTTGTACCAACACCAAGCATCTAAAAGACAAGGGTCCTGTGTGATTATATACACACGAGTATGAAAATTAAACTCTTGGATGGACCAAATCAATAAATATGCAACAAAGAACTACTGGCTCATCTGAAAACTTTTCATTTTGATTGGTCTCAGATGCTTGGTGTTGGTAAAAAAATGCTCTAACAGACAAGGTTCAAGTGATCTATGCATATGAGTATGGAATGAAACTCCTGGATGGGCAAAATCAATAAATACATAACAAAGAACAACTGCTTCATCTGAATACTGTTTTGTTGTTGTTTTGGTTGGCCTCAGAGCACTTTGATACCAACACCAAACATGTAACATACAAGGTTCTTGTGTGATATATACATATACTGTAGGTATGAAAATTAAACCTATAGATAAACCAAAGTAACCTCCCTAGCAGTCTGATTATGTCCGTATTTCTGTGCTCAAAGCGGTACATTTTTTTGCATGGAAATATGTTATTTTTTTTATTGTAGGCTGTAATTTTTAGAAATAACTCCCTGAAATCTGTCCGAACAAGAGTCTAGTAAACATCCCGGGGAGGATAAAATTTGAAACACGAAATCATAAATTATAATTTAATAAATAATCATAAAAAATAATAATATAATAATAAATGGAATTCAATAATATAATCAAACCAAAAACACTGAAATGTGAAATATAGCGCCAAGTTCGAACATCGCTGGGCAAAGTCGCAGAATTGTTTTCAGTGTCTGATGAGGAATTTCCCCCACGAATCATTATCACTCAATTCTGCAAGTGGTTCTGATTTACTATCGCTGTTCTCTAGCCGGTCTAAAACCGCGTCTGACCTAAAGGGACGCTTTTTGGACGCCATGGACGTTTCTCAGTTTCCAGGCAGAAAGAAAAGTAAAAATGCAGGCAGGGCGCCGGACAAAGCACTCGGGACAAAATGTATGTGAAATGGTTTGATACAGGAATGTTACACTGTGTGATTTTAGTGTATTTAGTGAATGTCACTTTTTGTCATTTTCAAATTTCTCGCCAGTTCCGTCCCCCGTACGTCCCGACGTCGCAGGGAACGGAACCCGGAAGACAGATGCTGGCATCCGCCGGATTACATTGCCGGGGACACTGCAGGGCGGACATCCCGGGAGTGCAGGGCAAGGTAAGTGATCGAGGGATCACGGAGCAACGCTGCAGTGTATTCCCGAGTGTAGCTCGGGGGGGTTACCGCTTGTGGTACTGAAACTTTACCCCGAGCTACACTCGGGAATACCGCCAGAGAGGTTCATGTCCCACATCTGTTGCTTTTTAAATTGCAATTAGAGTCAGTGTATAAATAGTCAATGAGTTTGTTCGCTCTTATGTGGACGCACTGACTAGGCTAGATACTGAGCCATGGGGATCAGAAAAGAACTGTCAAAAGTCCTACGTAACAAGGTAATGGAACTTTATAAAGATGGAAAAGGATATAAAAAGATGTCCAAAGCCTTGAATATGCCAATCAGTACTGTTATATCACCTATTAAGAAGTGGAAAGTTCGGGGATCTCTTGATACCAAGCCAAGGTCAGGTAGACCAACAAAGATTGCAGCCACAACTGACATAACTGACATTACACATAACCAGTGATGGTCAGTACCTACAGATGACCTCAAAAGCTTGTTCTACCAGTATGACATTCCACATGACCAGCGATGGTCAATACCAACAGATGACCTCAAAAGCTTGTCATTCCAGTATGACATTCCACTTAACCAGTGATAGTCAATACTTAGAGATGACCTCAAAATCCTGTTCTACCAATATGACATTCCACATAACCAGTGATGGTCAATACTTAGAGATGACCTCAAAATCCTGTTCTACCAATATGACATTCCACATAACCAGTGATGGTCAATACCTACAGATGCCATCCACTATTAGATCAATGCATGAACTTTTCACTAGATATTGATTTCTGTAATGGTCAGAAAAGAAGGATTAAGAACTCTCCATCTGTCGGATCTACCTCTGGTAAAAAAGGAAGGAAATATAAAGTGTTTATCATCCTTCACATAGAAATGTTACATAAACAAGAGATTTTTAAGGTGCCACAAAGTACAACAAAGAAGTAAAATATAACATTTTATTCATATACAAATATAAAATACAACATTAAGCATTGTTGTAAAGCATTAAACCCATCATAAAATATCCATGTGGGGTATACATGTAGTTACTTCCACTCTCAACGTGTTTCGCCATTCACTGGCTTTCCCAGGAGATTTAAGAGAACTACATTATACCTCAGGAATATCTGAACATAATTTGCAGTAAGCACCAAGGAAGAGTTACGTGGAGGGCTTCCACTTCCAAAAAGTAAGTTAAATGGAGTACACCATGGGGTTTATTTACTAAAGCTGGAGAGTCCAAAATCAGACTCCCTTCTGCATAGAAACCAATCAGCTTCTAACCTCAGCTTGTTCAATGAAGCTTTGGCAATGAAACCTGGAAGCTGATTGGTTTCTATGCAGAAGGGAGTCTGATTTTGGACTCTCCAGCTTTAGTAAATAAACCCCCATGTGTCAACAGTGTAAAAACCAAAGGGGAGAAAAAGGCCACAAAAGAGGAAGCTCAGGGAGTGCGCTACTGAACCCGATGAAAGAAGTCAAATACGAAAGTCTAAGTGCTCTCCATCATAGCGCGTGCTGTGGAATTTATCATCCTTGATGTATCCTTGCTGTTTGTCCTGTTGACCACGATCACCAAGACAGAAAGTGATAGGAAATCTAAAAGGTAACAGTGGTCACCAGAACAAGAGGTTATGGAAAACCTTCCAATGGGACACCTGCTCTGGTAGCAACTGTCCAAAAGGGAGAAGGAATTCAGCACACTTTGTAGATATTTTCTCTCATTTCCTGTTGTATCTTGGCGACCGGAAGTGTAGAAGAATCTCCCCAAGATAGCAAAATATGAACTGTAAGGGGTTTTAATCCCAATATACTCCATCCAAAACTAAAAAGAAACGTTTTGACAACAAATATACGTTAAGATTAGAGATGAGCGAATTATTCAAAAATTTGATTCGGCTGATTCGGCGAATTCGCGGAATAAATTTGATTCGAGTCGAATATATTCGCTGCGAATTTAACTTATAAAAAGGGTGTTTCTAGGCTTCAGAGAGCCTTTATATTAGTGCAGAACACTGTACCTTTAATTTAAATGCCCTTGGAGTCTGCTGGGGAAGAGAAATAATACTGTCAGTCAGTATGACATGCAGATGAGTGCCGTCGATCTTAGAATCACCGCACACTTCACTCATTTGGGCAGTCACGGGGCCAAAACCAGAGTGTGGAGCCACAGTGTGGCGGTGGAGGCAGCAGCAATGGGAGGCCATACAGCAACCTATGACAAAATGGAACCCACCAGCAGTGTGAGGAGACCTGAAAGTGGCACATGGCAGAGTGTGGCGATGGAGACAGCAGCAATGGGAGGCCGTACAGGGACCCATGACACACTCTGGACCTGGCAGCAGCATGAGGAGGCGGTACAGGGGCCCATGACAGATTACGGGCCTGGCAGCAGCATGAGGAGTCGGTACGGGGGCCCATGGCAGTTTACGGGCCTGGCAGCAGCAATGGGAGGCCGTACAGGGACCCATGACACACTCTGGACCTGGCAGCAGCATGAGGAGGCGGTACAGGGGCCCATGACAGATTACGGGCCTGGCAGCAGCATGAGGAGTCGGTACGGGGGCCCATGGCAGATTACGGGCCTGGCAGCAGCAATGGGAGGCCCGTAATCTGCCAGCACCCTATGACAAAATGCAACCCACCAGCAGTGTGAGGAGACCTGAAAGTGGCACATGGCAGAGTGTGGCGATGGCGATGGAGACAGCAGCAATGGGAGGCCGTACAGGGACCCATGAGAGACTCTGGACCTGGCAGCAGCATGAGGAGGCGGTACAGGGGCCCATGGCAGAGTGGCGAAGCGTAAGCAGCTTAAATTGAAGGCCATACAGAGGCCTATGTTAAAAATAATAACATGTTTGGGGCATGATTCATGGCGGATTTAGTCAGTTGTGTCAGGAACTGGTGGTTTGAAATCCAGACTAATCCACGCCTGATTCATTTTCACAAACGTGAGTCTCTCCACACTTTGGGTGGACAGTCGTGTCCTCCGCGGAGTTACAATACCTCCTGCCGCACTAAACACGTGCTCCGATGCCACGCTACTGGCCGGGCATGACAGCCTTTCAAGGGCAAATTCAGCTAGTTGGGGCCAAAGGTCAAGTTTCGTTGCCCAGTAGTCAAGGGGATTGTCTACCTCGGTTGGCAGGGTGCTGTCCAAGTAGGCCCAAGCCTGTTGTTTGAGGTCCTGCTCCAGGTCCACCTGATGCTGCTGCTGCTGCGGCTGGTTAGTAGTTTCCTCACTGCGCTGGTGAAGAAAGCTACTCATCATCCACTGCAGACTGAGGCAGCCGCTGCTGGTGGAGCTGCCACTGCTCCTACCACCCCACCCCCCCCCTGCTGCCATGGCAGCGGAACGCGAGCGCACAGGGCCCACAGTGTCTGAGGATGGACGTTGGCGCAGAAAGGCAGAGACCAACTGACTACATAGGTGGTTTTTATAGTACGTTATTTTGGCCTCCCTCTCAGCAGGTGTGAAAAAGGCCACCATTTTTGAACGGTAGCGAGGGTCCAACAAGGTGGACAGCCAAAAGTCATCCCTCTGTCTGATGGTTATTATTCGGCTGTCGCTACGCAAGCAACCGAGCATGCTATGGGCCCATTTGTGCCAAGGAATGCGAGGGACTCCCTGCCTCCATCTCCACAGCATACTGCCACGGTGCGTCTGGTCCTCTGTCTCCTCCTCCTCCTCTACCAGATGCTCCTGCTCCTCCACTCCTGTCCGCTGAGTGGAAAAACCACCCATTTCACTCAATAATTCCTGAGCACCAATGTCCTCCTCTACCTCCTCCTCTTCTTCCTGTCCTGCCCCCACTGGGGTCATGTGGCGTTGAGATCTGTGCGCCACGTCTACCGCACCCTGACCAGCCATTGTTAACAGCATTTGTTCCAGGACGTGCAACAGAGGAATGACGTCGTTCATCCCATAGTCCTGCCGACTCACGAATAGCGTGGCCTCCTCAAAGGGCCTGAGCAAGCGGCAGGTGTCACGCATGAGCTGCCAATGGCTGACATCGAAGTTACACAGGGGAGTACCTTTATCCGCTTGTAACATCAGGAAATCGGTGATGGCCTTTCGCTGCTCGTAAAGGCGGTCTAACATATGTAGGGTTGAATTCCACCTTGTTGCAACGTCGCAGATCAGGCGATGCTGTGGAATTCCGTTCTGCCGCTGCAGCTCAAGGAGGGTGTGCTTTGCGGTGTAGGAATGGCTGAAATGCATGCAAAGTTTACGTGACATTTTAAGGATGTCTTGCAGTGGGATGGTGGATTTTAGGAACCGCATGACAACCAGATTGAACACGTGAGCCATGCATGGCGCATGGCACAACCTTCCTTGACGCAGAGCAGACACCATGTTCTTTCCGTTGTCGGTCAACATGGTTCCGATTTTCAGTTTGCGCGGAGACAGCCATCTGTCGATTTCTCTGTTCATTACACTCAGAAGTTCCTCCCCTGTGTGACTACGTTCGCCAAGGCATACCAGGTGCAGCACAGCGTGACACCGTTGCGCCCTGCACATGTGATATGCCGGTTGGGTAATGGGACTTGGCACGGGGGTGGCGGCTGAGGACACGGCGGAAGAAGAGGTGGTAGAGGCGGACATCTTTGCTGGACCAAGGACGTGCAAACGTGGAGGCAAAAGCGGCGTGACCTGTCCAAGTTGCTGGTGCGGCTGTGCCGGCACCACGTTCACCCAGTGGGCCGTAAAATGACATGTACTGTCCCTGACCGTAGTTACAGCTCCACACGTCGGCGCTGCCGTGCACTTTGGCAGAGACCGACATGCTCAAAGACTGGCCCACCATCTCTTCTACATGTGAATGCAGGGCTGGCACTGCCTTTTTGGCGAAGAAATGCCGGCTTGGCACTCTCCACCGCGGCTCGGCACAAGCCATCATTTCTCGGAAAGGTGCTGAGTCCACCACTTGGAAAGGGAGGGACTGCAGCACCAGCAACTTGGACAGGAGGACGTTCAGCTTCTGCACCGTCGGGTGCGTGCTCGCAAACTGTTGTCTCTTGGAAACGGATTCCAAGAAAGACTGCTGACGGAATCCGTGAAGAGGAGTAGCAGGAGAAGGAGCATCTGAACGAGCGGAAGATGCCAACGAGCGACAACTCCCCTCAGCAGAGGTGTTGGAGCCTTGACTGGCTGATAGAGGGCGATTGACGTCGGGTGACGGAGCAAGTAACGGAGCGGGTGATGGAGCGGGGGCTGGGGCAGGCAGAACCGCCGTATCTTTATCACGGTTTTCCCAGGCCACCGAATGGCGACGCTGCATATGCTGACGCAACGCTGTAGTCCCAACATGGGCCCCCTGGCCACGCTTGACTTTCTGGCCACATAGTCGACATACGGCTACGTTTACTTCCTCGGGCGGCTTGACGAAAAATTGCCACACCGCCGAGTAGGAAACTTTGCCCCCGCTACTCCTCACTGGCTGACTGCTACTTCCTCCGTGCACACCGGCACCACTACTGGCCGTGGTGGTAGGCTGCAGTGGAGCTGGTGCTCTACTCCGTGGCCGTTTGCCTCCACTGACACTGCTGCGACCCTGCTGCCTCCTGGGCAACCCACCGACTGTTTTGCTCGCTGCCAAACTGCCACCCTCTTCTCCTGATGATGCGGAAGCAATAGCCTGATGACAACGAGGCTGCCAAGTGCGATCAGCCTCATCATCATCAATTAGGGTCTCCGCCTCACTACTAGCCCCCCCTCGGCTGCGTGTGGGTCAGGAGACAGACCTGTCTCTAGACCGGCTACCGAGCCACTCTCCTCGCCAGTACTTCTTCGCCTGGCTGCTGAAGAGGCGGATGTCTCCCCCCGTTCCTGACCGCCCTCTGTTAGCTCTTCCTCACTGTACAGTGGGGCTGAGCCCACAGCATGCGATACTTCGCTTGGTGAGGGAACACCAAAGGACAGGGGCAGGTAGAGGACACGTGATTTCAGTGGGCTTGCTCCCGGGCCATGCCAACTAACGGTTGTGTCTGACGTACCCACCGACCGTTGGCTGTAGGTGTCAGAGGTGACCTGGGAAGAGGAAGACGACCGAGCCAACCAATCGATGACGGCAGGGTTGTCGGTGGAGACACGACCGCTGGATGACACCAGGAGCACTGGCCTCTGGCTGCGACTAGTGCTGCCTCGACCCCTTCCTCTGCTGCCACGTCTGCTCGCTCCTGAAACATTGCCTCCTCTGCCACTCCTCTGCGTGTTGTCTGACATACTCTTTAATTCAACGATTCTGTGTCCCTGAGTAACGATTCTGTGTCCCTGAGTAACGATTCTGTGTCCCTGAGTAACGATTCTGTGTCCCTGAGTAACGATTCTGTGTCCCTCAGTAACGATTCTGTGTCCCTGAGTAACGATTCTGTGTCCCTGAGTAACGATTCTGTGTCCCTCAGTAACGATTCTGTGTCCCTGAGTAACGATTCTGTGTCCCTGAGTAACGATTCTGTGTCCCTCAGTAACGATTCTGTGTCCCTGAGTAACGATTCTGTGTCCCTGAGTAACGATTCTGTGTCCCTGAGTAACAATTCTGTGTCCCTGAGTAACGATTCTGTGTCCCTCAGTAACAATTCTGTGTCCCTGAGTAACAATTCTGTGTCCCTGAGTAATGATTCTGTGTCCCTCAGTAACAATTCTGTGTCCCTGGAGTAACAATTCTGTGTCCCTGAGTAACAATTCTGTGTCTGTCCCTGAGTAACAATTCTGTGTCCCTGAGTAACAATTCTGTGTCCCTGAGTAACGATTCTGTGTCCCTGAGTAACGATTCTGTGTCCCTCAGTAACGATTCTGTGTCCCTCAGTAACGATTCTGTGTCCCTGAGTAACGATTCTGTGTCCCTGAGTAACGATTCTGTGTCCCTCAGTAACGATTCTGTGTCCCTCAGTAACGATTCTGTGTCCCTGAGTAACAATTCTGTGTCCCTGAGTAACAATTCTGTGTCCCTGAGTAACGATTCTGTGTCCCTCAGTAACAATTCTGTGTCCCTCAGTAACAATTCTGTGTCTGTCCCTGAGTAACAATTCTGTGTCTGTCCCTGAGTAACAATTCTGTGTCCCTGAGTAACAATTCTGTGTCCCTGAGTAACGATTCTGTGTCCCTGAGTAACAATTCTGTGTCTGTCCCTGAGTAACAATTCTGTGTCCCTGAGTAACGATTCTGTGTCCCTGAGTAACGATTCTGTGTCCCTGAGTAACAATTCTGTGTCCCTGAGTAACAATTCTGTGTCTGTCCCTGAGTAAACGATTCTGTGTCTCTGAGTAACAATTCTGTGTCCCTGAGTAACAATTCTGTGTCCCTGAGTAACGATTCTGTGTCCCTAAGTAACGATTATGTGTCCCTAGTAACGATTCTGTGTCCCTGAGTAACGATTCTGTGTCCCTAAGTAACGATTCTGTGTCCCTAAGTAACGATTCTGTGGCCCTAAAGTCTCTGTGGCCCTAACTCTGTCCCTAATACACAGAGGTCTGTCTCTCTTGAATGACCGGAGGCTAATGGAGAATTGTAAGATGGCC